AACAATAATATTGCTACACAATGATAAGAAAAATAAGAACAGAAAGACTCACGAGCTAAACTTTAACAGTTACAATTCAAACAGAACGTTGACTTTAACAGTGCTTATTTGTTTTCAAGGAGGGGGATTCGTACGAGCCCCTTGAAATCTCCTGGCTACGGTTGTGATTGGAAATGCATTCGACCTTTTGTTCGTCATGAGTCCATATATCTTATCAACCTCTGTTCTTATATATTTAATTCTCGAGACGAGATTTAAGGGGGCGACAATTGGATATTTGGAGGGCATGAATTCCATACGAATTTTCTGACTTTGAAAATATTCTGAGCTGAAAAAAAAAAACAGTTTGCCCAAAACAGGATGGAAATGCATATTTTGCCCTGATGAATACAGGAACAAATTGTTTCAAGTGAAAATATATAAATGATCAGCCTAACATCAAGTGAAGATGAAATTCCTATTTGAAGAACAACCTCCTTCTCCCCCTCTCCCTAAAATCATATGGTCGTCTACTAAATATCAGTCTCCAATTTTTGACAGAATGATGTTTGATGTCTTTACATTACAAATTAAAATACTGACTTCGCCATATCTACAATAGGGGCTACGCATCGGATGTGAGGGTCTGGGTGAGGGATTGGAATATCTTCATTCTCTCTTTAAATTTAGGTCATTTTCTCTATTCTTATTTTTTGTTCATTATCCTCTATGGTCTATATTTAGACATCTCATTATTCTCTTCTCTTTTTTTGCCACCCGAGGGTCACTGGGTAATAGAAATATGATATTTTTTATTCCTCCAACCGGCATTTAAACCCTTGTCAAAATTGGGCGACAACGTTAGGTTGTGAGGGATGTATAAATACGCAGACATGTCCGTTCCGGTTAGGAACTTTACATCCGACGAAGAGAGAGTGTCATGCTCTCTTCACGTTGAGAACACTTCCAACAACTCTTTGATGTTCCTTATGTGACATTTTGCAATGTCAAATTTCTATTCCTATCTTCTATTTCCCCCATTTTCCATTGGCATTCCAAATTTACTGCCATTAATCATTTACCATCATGGTCGACCCGTATTGCAGGACCTACCCCACGAATTCATTGTAATATGCTTTTGTCCTAAACATGTAATATTTATTACTTGTTACTGGACATAAAACAAACAACTATCAAGCAATTAATTTATTTTTTCCGGAATTACTTGTTTTATTGATTACTTGCCTATAATATTCTATTCAGTTATCTTAGTACCAAATTGTATCTATAAATCATCGATAGATTTCAAATAAACTTTGAACACATCTTGTATTAAATTTCCGGGAGAGAATACAGGAATCATCAAATATTTTACCACAGCTAATTAACATGTAGACACGATGAGGCTTTGTTATATTTTCATATGCAGTTATATTTTATTATTATGAAAAGTAATGAGGTCTCTATAGAAAAAAAGGATTGAGGCAATTTTTCCCCCTTAAAAATATAATTATAAATAATAGCAAAGGGTGTGGTATGACTTCGAATACCAATTAAATTTGTTTGAAGTTTTCTTGTTTCCGTACATGTATTAGATACAATACAAAGGTAACAAAGAAACAGGCCGGTAACAACCGTTGCCGGATAGTTTTTCTGCAAGAGAAGTCATGTCAAGGTCACAGGCGATAGCCGAGGACCTTGACCTGACTACAAGTGCAGAGAAACTATACGGCAGGTTGTTTCCGGCCTGTTTTTTGTTACCTTTGTTTTGTATCTGACTTGTACGACGTTTCGAGAAAGAATTAGTACATTTTGCATTTAGAAGAGGTAGCAAAACTAAACATATTGGAAACTTAAATGGACATATACCAGTTAATGTAAGTTACAGTTCAAACATTCAAAATAAACAAGCTTAATCCTTTTTTGGTTGAAAAAGTTCAGGATGTGCCATTCCATCCCCCCATTCCCCCTTAAAAAAATCGTACGTTTGCCGCCAAATAAACGATGAATTCAATAACAATATAAATGTATCAAAAGAATGAATTTACTATCTCATTAGTGAATGAAATGATATGGAAAAAATGGATTTTGTCTTGTTATAAGATAAATATAGGCATATATTTTGGATTTTTTTTTAAATGTTCAGGTTTTTATATGTCTCTGATAGTGTTGATCAGGATTAAACACATGTCACTATATGATCCAATCGCAGCTTAGTATACCGTCCAAAATTGATGACATAAGTTGAATGATTTTCTTCAAGATTTGCTGCATATTTGAACATGTATTATGTTACACCGACACTTTTTATTCATAGGATCAATCGTGCATTGGTGAGTTGATAGGGATTTTACCTTTTGATTAGATTTGATTTTTTTATATATATTTCCTGTCTTTTTTTATTGATATATAAACGTCGGTACCAGCATTTCGTTACCATTTCAGCATTGTCCAGAATACTATTTATGTCCATATTTAAAAAAAAATACATTTACGGACCGACCATTTAGCTTCAAAAGGGGGTTATGTTCTTTTCTGAGTAAGAAAATTATTTAGTTTTTTCAACGCTATCACACATTTTTTTTCTCTCGAAATTACAACTATTATATACGGTATTCGAAAAATCAGGAATCAGAACATTATTTTGTTATCTGCTTGACAACATTATATTTTTTCTCACAAAATTGGGGATCAAAATATTTTTTTAGGAAAAAACCATAACCCCTCTTCTGAAGTTAAATAATCAATCCCTTAGTGTACTGATATGAATAGTCATTTACTGGAATTGTTTGGAAAACAATATTTATTGGTGCTTTAGTAAATATTTTAATCAAAAAGACAGGAATTATGTCGGTGAAACAAAAAGTTCAAATCTAATTGAAATTTAAAGTGACGATGAACTCACTGATCATACACGGGTGATTCAATTCATAAAAAGTGTCCGGTAACAACTAAAAAGTGTCCGTGTATCATCTAAAAAGATTCCGTGTAACACCCGTTAATGTACTGTTTTTCTATAGCTCTGCTGGGGGCAAAGTCGTACAATGCAGTTTTATACAGTTTTGTGTCTTTCTCTTTTGATTATGGCGCTGTTATATCTAGACAATAATAGAGTACTGACTTGACATATCAACGATATAAAGATGAGGCTTAGAAACGGGGAAATGCGAGGCTCTGCCGAGCTATTTCCCCGTTTCGGGCCGAATCCTTATATCGTTGATATGTCAAGTCAATACACTATTATTGTCTTAATACTGCAATTTAGAAAAAAAAATCATTTTCAATTGTTGTTTATTGTGTTATTGTTATTTATTTCATTTAAATATTGGGGGAAATCCCCCTTTAAAAAGGCCTCACATCTGGCGGAGAAATATTCAACACAATGAAATGTACATTACCTGTTGAAACCAGTCGATGGTGAACGAATTCGTTTGAGTATGGACTAAAATATCAACAATAAGCATAAAACATAATGATTTATAGGTTTTAAACAAAAAATATAAACAAGTGAAATATGTTATTTCCAACAATTGTAAAAGAAATAAGTTTGAGCCGTTCCACGCTAGAGGTTGAAGCGGTCGTCATGAATATTTAAATATAGTTGCGGCTCTACTATTTAAATATTCATGAGGAAAAGTGATATTGGGTCAGTGACTGTATATGACATAGAAATATACAGTCAACGCATTTTGACTGCTCAAATAGAACGAGTGCAGTATAAATCGTATTGTATGTACCTTTAATCAGTCCAATGATTTATATCAAATAAGGTTCAAGAGGGGGCGAGGATGGGGAAGGGGGATAGAGATTAATAAACTATAGGTTAAGTTAGAAAACAAATTCTTCAGCCTGTCACAAGTCAGAAATTACGTCATTTTTTTTTTATTTGGACCCCTAAATTTTGTTCTTACATGATGATTTTGTGATTATAGGGTATATCTTTGATTGTCTGTTTAATTGACTAATGTCTGTCTCAGGTTCTGATATAGAGCTGATACTATGGGATCGACACCCTTGTAGTGGTGAAGAATGATTACATTAATGGTGGTCTCTAGATGTCTTTTGGAATTTTTGTAGTTGGGTTGCCAATTCATTGTCCAATATCCAGACCTATTATGCGCGAGTTAGTTAGCACCTAACAACTAATTTACATTGGAATACAGCGCCCTCTGGCGGTCAGTGTCCAGAGGTTATTATGACTTGTAGTGATCTAAGTGAGCGGAAAAGAACGATTGGATTATTCGGGTTAACATCATCACGAAAAAAAGGAATTAGCTTTCAGTATTTGTTGACCAAGTCTTATTTGATATTGTTGTATTTATTGCACTACGATGTCTTTATAATTCGCACCAACGCTGGCGTAGTAGAAACGAAACTAAGGGGATGGTCATTCGATTTTTAGGGGTGGGTAGGAGGATTTTGAAAATGAATATCATAGCCTGTAAGAGCTGATAATAAACAACATTTCGTAAGACAGAATGAAAATGAATATTCTGCAACAATCTTGAATCAATCGTTTACTAAAGTGCAAATTAATTTTCGCACAGCGAAGCTGCGAAAAAAAGCATACACAGCAACAGATGAAAATAGATAGCATTTCAGAAATAAAAATCCTCCTCCCCTCTTTCTTCTAGAATAGCAATGGTCCCCCTATTTAAAAGAAATGAATTTTCTACAATCACTATGAAATGTTGCAGGTCGAATTTTTTCCCGATTTATTTTAAAAAAAATGTCGGAACAGAATTAGCATCCACTACATGTATATACATTACAATATGCACTCTGTTTTGTTTTGTTTTTTTTTGTTTTTTTTTGTTTTTCTTTTGCATAATTATGAGATAGTTTCTGTGTTGACATGGTTGATGAACAGAATCCCCGATTTATTTGTAAAAAAGAACAAAGAAAAATTAGTTACGAAGCGAACATTATAAATAAATAAATACATTACAAAAGAAGTTTAGACAAAATGTGAAGAGCAAATATTGTACTTTCGTATTTGTGTTGCGTTCTTTGGTATCAAGTTTTATCAATTTATTTTTGCGGAAAAGACAAATCCAGATTGAGTTTTCATACTAAGTATCCAACAACTATTTTGATATCTGCTTTATAAGGGAGCATACGTTTTCAACTTAAAGGTAACCTTATCCTTAATTGTATTTACTTAATTGTCGCAATAAACATTTAAAATTTGAATATAGGTTTTTTAATTTATAAATTCATTTTCTTTAAATAGATTTTATCACTGAGTCAGACATTTCAAGTTATTTGACCTAGATTTGATTTTCGGAAAACCTTACTAAGGATGTAATGTTATCTTGAAGACAACACTGTTATATTTTAAGAGAAAAGAACTATTAAAACAACATATGGAAAAATGAATAAACGGTGATATAAGATATACATCAAAGACAGCAACCCGATTACACAAATAACCAAAAGACTGTTATAATCTAAATATGAAATTACATCTATGCTACTCGAGATCTACAAGTTGTAAACAGTGCGGTTAAAATTAAGTTTGAAATTGAATGCCTTTTAAAAAACAATTTTAACGTTGGAAAATTGTTACAACATACTAATCCTTCATATATGTGATTCATTATAACGACATTGTTATTTACAAATATGAATAAGACGTCACGTGGGGTATATATATAGAAAGAGCAATCTTACAACACACAAAGTTAAATATTGAAACACATCTTTTATATACTCTTCGCCGGTATAGAATAAGCCGCCTTGAATCTAGAAAGTTTCAAATGCCTTTAAGAGAGACTATTAAGAGTGCTACAAAGACAAAATTACCAGGCTGAGCGTAACAAATAATATAAATTTATTTTTTAAGATAAAAATATTACCCGTATTTGTCCGAAACATAATTTCGTTTACGGTTACCTCTGCCTAATTTTCATGTGCGAAATTTTCGTGGCGTTGCATATTTTATTTCTTGAATACTACACAACTAGAAAAATGGATAGCAGTTCTTTTTTGCAAAAAATGTCAGCGATGCTACAGCCAAAAATAATAATATGAGCATGCAGCAAAATTCAAATTAATTAATGGCAGTTGAAAAACATCATCTAATTCTTTTGCATAACGATAAAGGAATTTTTTTAACGGCTCCTGTGTGCACAAATTGAATTTATTTTGTATAATATGAATTTGAATTTCTGGATTTTTTAAACATAATTAAAATAAGCTTTCGATTAAAAATATTAATGTAATTCAAATCCTGTCTAATCCAATAAGAAGCCGCAAAAGATTATATTCTTACCAACTTGAAAGAAAAATTTCGGTAAAATTTTGATAGATAGTTGCGCTCTTGTAACCTGATATACTATGCTGCGTCTTTTAATTTTTTAAAATTTTTTTTTGCCAACGCCGCGGCGGAGGGGGACATTAAGTGTTACCCTTGTCAGTCTGTACGTCCGTCCGTAAGTAAGTCCCGAAATAGGGTTCTCTAACATTAGTTAACCTCAAAAAAATATTTATGGAATTATACACAACGCTTATAACTACAAAACACAGATCCAGTTTGAATTTGGGTGGCGTAACTTTAAACGTTCTAGAGTTATGCCCCTTTACAAACGAAAAAATGCTGAAATTTTCGTTTCCGTTTTCAAACTTAAGTTTGCCTCAACCAAATGTTATGACACTTATACAATGCTTATTACCACAAAACTCAAGCCAAGTTTGTATTTGTGTGGCGTCACTTTTATCGTGTTTGATTTATGTCCCTTTATTACGTTACATGTAAGAGGGGACATCATCTGTGTACCATTGATGTATTCTTCATTTTTTATTATGTTTATGAGAATCAAGGTATTGTTTCTGTATTTAACATCCGAATTGATGGTCAGTGTATTACAGTATTCGTATAGTTCGATCAAAACGGCGGCAAGGTCAGTCTTGAACTTGCTGTGACAGTTTTTGATCCATGATGATGCGTGTAATTTCAAACAAGACTAAAAGCCCTCTTTCTTTCCTTTTGTGTGTTTTGATTTTGTATCCTTTGTATCCCACCATATCCCTTCTTTTCTATCGTATCAAAGAATCTACATAGTAACTAAAATTATAGTGGCAGTATTGTCTTCTATTTTGAAACTGTCATACAAAGAGAAAATCTGATACGGTAAAACTGTTAAAAATCTGCATCTATATCTATTTTACCAAATTTTAAGACGACATTTTATGGGAGTTTTTTATTGCCCTGCTAACTAAAGGCAACAGTAGTATACTGCTGTTCAATAGTCATAAATCGATTAAGTAGAAACAAAACTGAATCACAAACAAAAACCGAGGGAAACATATCAACTATAAGAAGAAATGAAATAAAGAATTAGTCCCCAGGGGTCACCCCCTCCTGCCATTTTAGAAGATTTTAATATCTTGTAAATGGTTGAGATCCCCACCCCAAAACCATATATATTCCTGTTCGTCATGTCACAAAGATTTGAATGATATAAATAATGTCAGTCACCAGGGTTCCCCCTCCCCCAATATTCATATATCTTGTAAATGGTCTAGATCCCTACCACTAAATCATATATATTCTGGTTTGTCATGATACAGCACATCAAATTAAATAAAGGATTAGTCCCCAGGGATCACGCCACCCCCTTCCATTTGAGAAAGTTCTAGCATCTTGTAAATGGCGAAGATCCCCACCCCTAAACCATATATATTCTGGTTTGTCATGCCAAGATGATTTTAATGATATACAGGGTAAGACCCAAGGGGTCATCCCCATCCCTGTCATTTGAATATGTTCAAATATTTGTTTGTCATGTCACGAAGATTTGAATGATACATAGGGTCAGTCCCCAGGGGTCACTAATGCATATCACTTTACTGGACCAAACCAATTTTTACAACATAATAACATGATTTTTCTATGACTGTTAATGACGTCTTTACACTAAATCCGATTGGATGTTGGATGTGTACTGATTGCTAAGCTAGACTTAGATACATGCATTTTTTATTAGTTGTTACTGGCTTTGGACTTGCTGTCAGTAACTGTGAGAACTCTCAGATCTGTACTTAGTGTTTTTTTGTTGTTGTAAGGGATGATGGATGGATAAATACCCTGCCATGTCCGGTCTGTGTTTTTGTTTTTTGTTTTTCAACTGATTTTTATAGTTTGTTGTTATGTTGTGCTGTTACACCACAGTCACAGATAGGGAGAGGGTTGAGCGCTCACAAACATGTTAAACCCCGCCACATATTTTATGTACCTGTCCCAGTCAGGAGCATTTTTAACAGGATTTTCGAAGAAAAAATCGGTTATTGATTTGGGGATGTACGGCTGGTGGGCGGCTGCCAAACAGTGTCCGTTCATTTACATGAAAATACTTTGATAAACTTTTTTCAAATTTTGATATGTTGTTTCCTGTGACTAAATAAAGGTCAAGTTTAATTTTCACGACTTTAGCTTTTCTTGAATTTTGAACTCTTTTAGAAACCAGAAATTTACTTATTGTGTGATTGAGTTATTTCCCTTTGAACAGAAATTAATAAGTCTGTAAATAGCTGAGATGTATAGATAGTCTATCAATGATTATATCTGTTCACTTGATTAGTCAGGATTTGTCAAAAATGTCTTTATAACTATTTTTTTAAGTCATGTGTGTTTTGAAGGTAGATGTCACAGTTGTTATGTGGTATTTAATTTTTTTTGTGTGTGTTAATGTTTAATTTTTACTTGAACCTGTTTGGGTGTCCTGCAGATTTGCAAATATCATTTTCATTAGATAATAATCTATTTTTATTATAGGATATATTTCATTTCATTACATTGTGTAGGTAAAGTTGTTGACACTGGTTATTTATATTTATTTATAATTTGAAAACATCATGTCTAATTTTAGAGAACAAAATTAACTTGTCTATCAGTTTGAATTAAAAATTCAGGATTAATGCGCTCCATAGTATACTAATTTAAGATTTTCAGAAAACCAGGGATTATTTTTTGTAGTTCTTGTGTTACGAAGGACAGTTCTTTCTTATAAGACTTTAAAGGTAGGTTGAAAATTGGCATGTAGAAAGGTGATACATGTACAATTCAGAATATACCTGGTTTCTGTGAAGTTAAACTTAAGGTAAAATGTTAAGAAAGCTGTGAAAATTGCAAATTTTGGTTGAATATTGCAAAGTTTGGTTGAATAGATAGGGATTTTGAATTGGTGGTCTGACACCTTAACGCCATTTTCAACTGGTACCGTATGTCGACGTTCGATGTCATCATTAGCTCATACCGACTGTTAATATTTGTATATTCCTAAGGCATAATGATTTTTTTACGGCGGGAACCAACCTAATCAAATACTAAGTAAACGCTCATTAAATTACGATGTCAATGATCAATGGAAGAAGTTTCCTCGCAAATGTCATGTGTTAAAAGGATAGACCGAAAAGAATTTAAACAATATACATTATCTCGTCATTGAATCTGAAAATCCCCAAAACATAATGGTTTATGGTATCGAAACAGGTTTTCCTAACATTGATAAAGGTGAAATCCGTAGAATCAGAATTGTGCACAAAGAAAAAAAAATCGGAGATAAAACCATATGTAAAGTGAAAAAAAAATTGCATTGAATCATTGTTTTATAATTTGCTACCATAAGAACCTTGAAGTTGAAACTACGAACGATTACTTGTATCCTGTCAACCCCTAAAAAAATAATACTGTCTTCTTGTCTACTTCCGCGCGCCACTAACTGAATTTTTGATATATTGTTATAGAGTTTGTTAACAATAAAAAAAGGATTGAATGTTACGTTGCATTAATGAGATAAACAAATAAACTCAAAACTAAAGTAAATATAAAAGAATGAGACTCTTTCTATTATCAAGTTTCAATGAAAAATATAATTACACAATATAAGATAATAACCTTAATAAGATAATTATATTATCGAAAGGAAATTGATTTATCCTTTGAAGGTGTTAAATGTGTTTGTATATATTATCATTTGTTGTAAACTATATGATACGACTTCGGTGTTGAGACAACATCAACTTCGTTTCTGCTTTTAAGAGCCAAGCCAGTTCCACCAAAAATCAATATACGACAAAGGTAACAGAGTCCGTTAAATACGACCAGGACAAAAAAAGTCATAATTAGTTTTAA